ATAGTTTCCAGAATTTTGTTTGTTATTGATTTCTAATTTTAATCCATTGTGGTCTGAGAAAATACATGAGATAATTCCAATTTTTTTGAATTTGTTGAGACTTTATTTGTGACCTAACATGTGATCTGTCCTGGAGAATGATCCATGTGATGATGAGAAGAATGAATATTCTGAGGTTGTTGGATGTAATGTTCTGTAGATATCTGCCAAATCCAATTGGTCTAGAGTGTTGTTTATATCTTGTGTTTCTCTGCTGATTCCCCTGCGTCGATGATCTGTCCAATATTGACTGTGGGGTGTTTAGGTCCCCTGCTATTTTGGTATCAGTTTCTATTTCCTTCTTTAGGTCTAATAGAGTTTGTTTTATAAATCTGGCTGCTCCAACATTCAGTGCGTACATATTTATGATTGTTATGTCTTCTTGATGGATCAATCCTTTTATCATTATGTAGTGTCCCTCATTATCTCTTTTTATGGTTTTTAGTTTAAAGTCTATTTTATCAGATATAAGAATAGCTACTCCAGCCTGTTTTTCATTTCCTTCTTGATGGATCAATCCTTTTATCATTATGTAGTGTCCCTCATTATCTCTTTTTATGGTTTTTAGTTTAAAGTCTATTTTATCAGATATAAGAATAGCTACTCCAGCCTGTTTTTCATTTCCTTCTTGATGGATCAATCCTTTTATCATTATGTAGTGTCCCTCATTATCTCTTTTTATGGTTTTTAGTTTAAAGTCTATTTTATCAGATATAAGAATAGCTACTCCAGCCTGTTTTTCATTTCCTTCTTGATGGATCAATCCTTTTATCATTATGTAGTGTCCCTCATTATCTCTTTTTATGGTTTTTAGTTTAAAGTCTATTTTATCAGATATAAGAATAGCTACTCCAGCCTGTTTTTCATTTCTGTCTGATATCTCTCTTAGATTTTCTTCAGTGCTTTTAATTCTTTTTTCTTTTGTTTTTTTTTTTTTGTCTGGTTGTGTTATTTCAAACAGCCCATCTTCAAGGTCCAAAGTTCTCTCTTCTGCTTCTGCAAGCCTGCTGATTAAACTCTCTGTTGTGTTTTTTTATTTCTTTGAATGAATTCTTCAGCTCGGCAAGCTCTGCTACATTCTTTTTCAGGGCATTGATTTCCTTGTACATTTCTTCTTTCGGGCCCTGTATACTTTTCCTTGTTTCATCATGTTGACTAGCTGAGTGTTCTTGTATCTCATTCAGTTTCCTTAGAATTATCACTCTTAATTCCTTGTCAGACATTTCAAGGGCTTCTTGTTCTATAGGATGTAGAGCTTGAGAGTTGGTGTTGTACTCTCTTGATTTTTCATATTTCTCGTATCTTTCCTTTGATGTTTACTCATTATGGCAGGGGATGTCACAGTCTACTGGTTTGACATGATTGTCTGGCTAGGATGTTGCTGGGGTTGCCAATTTGGTATGGCTACCTCAGTGTCTGCTTGGTTGGCCACTAGTGCCTTGTGTGCATGGTTGCCTTGGGTCTTGGGCCTCTCCAGGGAGCCACCTCTCTGGTCAGCATGCACTCGGCCGGGCTGCTGGGTTGCATGGTGGCACCACAGGGCGTATGTTCTTTGTGGAGCTTCCGCCTCCCCTGCTGGATGTCTCCCTGCACCACACACACTCGGCTGCTGGGTCCGATATATTCAAATTTAAAGGAAATGTAAATATTTGTTTTGTTAAATTATTGGGAGCAAAAATTCGGAGACATTTTGATTATGAAGAACAACATTTTATAAGGGCTGTGTAGTGAATCCTGGGAGTGTCTTTATGGGGGTGTCATTAAAACTTTTATTTGAACTGATTTCCTAGTCTTAGACCAAAGAAACTTTTGAGTATTTGATGCATTTGGGTGAATATTTTAGATTCAAAATACAAAATGTTTTAATTTAATAAAGCACATATTAGCTGTTTTGGGGGAGGGTAGAATAAATGCTAATTTAGCTGCTTTTCGTTCTGAATTAGGAAGCTCTGGAGGAATATGTGAAAAAAGTAAACTCTATTCAGATGGTAAGAAGAAGTCCTTAAACACTGGTATTATTACTGTTCAGAACTATGGATCTCATGTACCTCCCAAAGTCTCTCACATTACTTTTGCTCATGAAGTTGGACATAACTTTGGATCTCCTGTAAGTATTGCCTAATAGATTTTTAAAAAGTTATTAGCCTAATTTTTATGCTGAGTGATTTTTTTTGTTTGTTTACAGTGAAAACAAATGTATATATGAGTGTTTAGTTTTTGTATATCAGAACACAGTAATGTACTGAATGTATTGACCATTCTGGAAGGGAGGAAGATAGAATATTTGTGATTAGAATAAGAAAAGTAAGCGTAACAATGCTAGAATTCTATGAAGGCAAGAAATTTTGTCTGGCTTGTTGAAACAAAATAATATATCTCCTGGCCCTAGAAAAGTGTGTGGTACATATGCAATCAAATATCTTTTGAATGAGAATCACTTTTCATTGTTTAAAGTACATTTTGAATGTTTAGCAAATGATGTAATGGTTTTTTTGCTTTCTGGCTTTTCTTTTTTAATTTTAAAATAGATCATTGTGTTTTTATCCCTACTCAGCTTTTTTACTTACCTTTCTTATGTATTGGTTAATAAGTTAGCCTTCTTAGATTCCAATTCTATATATACTTAACTACATGCCAGCTTCTTTTGTTTCCTTTCTCTTTTGTTTTTCTTTTTTCTCTGAACTATTTATAGCATGTAATTTAGCATTTATTTTAAAGAATATTTAGTAGTTTTAAAGTAGTTTCTATTACTGTTAAGAGTTTTAAAAGTAAGTGATCTTATTTTTAATAGACTTTTATGATAGTTCTCAATTCTAGTTCCTACTTACAAAGATATAAATTATCGTGGCTAGACCTCCACTGATTTTCTTTCCTTCCCTTTAAAAAGTTACGTTTAATCAGATGACCTGAAAACCTTCTTTTACTTCCTGTTTATATAACTCTATATTCTGTTTGACAGCATGATTCGGGAACAGAGTGCACACCAGGAGAATCTAAGAATTTAGGACAAAAAGAAAATGGCAATTACATTATGTATGCAAGAGCAACATCTGGGGACAAACTTAACAACAATAAATTCTCACTCTGTAGCATTAGAAATATAAGCCAAGTTCTTGAGAAGAAGAGAAATAACTGTTTTGTTGGTATGTATATTTTCCCAACCTTATTTTATGAACATTTTCAAACATTCAGAAAACTTGAATTATACAGTGAGCACTCACATATCTACCACCCATATTTTACAATTAAAACACATTGTTGTATTTGCTTTATCCATATTTATTACTCTATGCATCCCTCAATTGATATTTTTTGATGCAATTTGAAACAAGTTGCAAACATCAGTATATTTACTCCTAAACACTTTAGCCTACATATTATCAGCTAGAGTTCAATACTGTTTGTAGTTCTTTTTTTGTTTTTTACGAAAGTGAAATGCACAAATCTTAAGTGCAACACTTGATGATTTTTGGCAAATGTATTTACCTGGGTAATGAAGCACCTATCAAGATAAGAGAATGTTTCTTTCGTCCCAGAAAGTTCTTTTATTTCCCTTCCCAACCAGTCTCTGTCCCCAACACACCCCAGAGGCAACCACTATCTGATTTATTTCACCGTAGGTTGGTTTTGTCTGTTTTAAAACTTCACATAAATGGAATCATACAGTTTGTAACCCTTTTGTGGAAGGCTGCTTCAACTCAGCATAATATTTTAGATTCATCATTAATATTTTACTCCTTTTTATTACTGGGTAGTATTACACTGTATGAATATATCCCAGTTTGCTCATCCACTCTCCTATTGTTGAACACCTGGGTTTTTTTGGGTCTGGGATAATATGAATAAAGCTACTATGAAATTCTTTTTTCTTTTTCCTTTTTGTAATAAAATATATATATAACAAAATTTGCCATTTTAACCAATTTTAGGTGTTCAATTCAGTGGCATTAATTACATTCACAGCGTTGTGCAAACATCTTTTCTATCCTTCTCCAAATTGTTTTTCATCACCCCAAACAGAAATTGTGTAACCCTTAAGAAATAACTCCTGCTTCTTCCTCCTTTCAGCCCTAGGTAACCACTAATCTACTTGCTGTTTCTCTAAATTATCCTATTCTAGGTACCTTATATAAGTGGGATTTATACTATATTTGTTCTTTTGTGTCTGGTTTATTTCATTTAGCATAATATTTTCAAGGTTCATCCGTGTTGTAGCATGTTTCAGAACTTCATTCCTTTTTATGGCTGGATAACATTCCAGTGTATGGATACATTTTGTTTTTTCATTCATTTGTTGTGCATCTCCTGTGGCATTTAACATACTCAACCTTGTGGTATTTAACATATCGTAAATATTCTGCCTTATATTATGGTTTATTTTTGCATGTGTCCTTGTCTTGTTTCACATGATTATAAGTTACTTGAGGGCAAACACTGAGGCTTGTTCACCTTTTACATAAAAAACACTTGAAGAGGGGTTAAACATATGACAGCAAAGGAGAAAGAATTGAAGATTTCCAAATAAGCACGTCTTTTTGTTTTTAATTGAAATTTTAATTCAGATAATTGTAGATTCACATACAGTTGTAAGAAGTAATAGATTTTCTGAACCCTTCACCCAGTTCCCCCCAATGGTAATATCTTGCAAAAGTGTAGTACAATATTAAAACCAGGATATACAATCCACAGATCTTATTCTGATTTCCCCAGTTTTTTTTGTTATCATTTCTCTCTGTGTATATTTAGTTCTATTCAATTTTATCATGTGTGTAGGTTTATGTATCCACCACTACAGTCAAGATTCAGAACAGTTCCATCAGCACAAGGATCCCTCAGTGTTGCACTTTTATCACCACACCTACCTCCCTCCTGCTGTCCCCTCTCCCATCTTACTAACTTGTTCTCCCTTTCTAAAAGTTTGTCACTTCAAAATTACTATATAGGACACAATGGAATACCATTCAGCATAAACAAGAGTGAAATTCTGTCATTTGGAGCAACATGGATGAGTTTGAAAATGGCACAGAAAGTCAAATATCGCATGTTCTCACTCATATGTGGAGGCTAAAAAAGTTGATCTCATAGAAATAGAAAGTAGAATAGTGGTTACTGGAGACTGGTAAGGGGAAGGGGGTGGGGGGCATGGGGATAATAGGATGGTCAATGGATACAAAACTGTAGAGAGATAGGAACAATAGGACTTAGTTTTCTATAGTAATATAGGGAGACAACAGCACATTACCGTGTAACTTCAAGTAGCTAGTTGAGAGGATGTTGAATGTTCCCAACACCAAGAGTTGACAAATGTTTGAGATGATGAATATGCTAAATACCCTGACATGATCATTGAGCACTATATAAATGTGCCCAAATATCACATTGTACTCCATAAATATATATAATTATCATGGGTCAATTAAGAAAAAATAAATTAAAAAGAAAAAAAATTTTTCAAAGACAGAAGTAGATTAGAGGTTATAAGAAACTGAAGAGAAGGAATAATGAGACGTTATTGCTTAATAAACAGAGTTTATGTTTAGGATGATGAAAAAGTTTTGGAAATAGAGGTAGTTGTTACACAGCATGTGAATGTAATTAATTTCATGCAATTGTATGTTTAAAAATGCTTAAAATGGCAATCCTGTGGGGGGGTTGGGGGGTTAGCTCATTTGGTTAGAGTGTGGTATTATAACACCAAGGTCAAGGATTCAGATCCCTGTATCAGCCATCACCCCCCACCCCAAAACAAACAAACCCAAAATAAAATGGTAATTAATCCTGGTTATATGTATTTTACCACAATTTAAAAAATAGAAAAAAATCGTTATAGAGGGGGATGGAGGAGGGTAGGGCTACGGAAGATGTTGATCAAAGGGTACAAAGTTTCAGTTAGACTAGAAGAATAAGTTTTGTGATCTCTTGTGCACTGCATGGTGACCACACTTAATAATTAGCTCTATTGAAGCTTTCTATATAATACATAGGTCAGTACATCCTATTGTATCCCATAAATATACACAATTATTATTAGTTAAAAAGAAAAAATTGTATAAATGGAATCATGCAGTATATAACTTTTTAGGATTGCCTTTTTTCCACTCAGCATAATTCCCTGGAGACTCATCTAAATTTTTGTGTATATCAAGTTTGTTCCTTTTCATTGTTAAGTAGAATTCCATGGTATGTATGTTCCACAGTCTGTTTAAACATTCACTTGTTGAATGTCATTTGGGCTGCTTTCAGTGTTTGGCTGTTATGAGTAAAGCAACTATAAACATTTTTGTACTGTTTTTTTGTGTGAACATAAGTTTTTTATTTGGGGGAAATAAATGCCCCCAAATCCAATTGGTGGACCATGTACATAACTGCTTGTTTTGTTTTGTGTGAAACTGCCAAACTTTTCCAGAGTGGCTATACTGTGTTTTACATTCTTACCAGCAATGTATGAATGGTCCAATTTCTCTACATCTTTACCAGAAATATTGTTTTCACTATTTTTTATTTTAGCTATTTATGTAAGTATATAGTGATACCTCATGATTTTAATTTGTGTTTCTCTGATGACTAATGATGTTGGACATCTATTCATGTGCTTATTTGCCATCTGTATATATGCTTTGGTGAAGGGTCTGTTCATGTTTTTGGCCACTTCTAATGGAACTTTTTTTTTTCTGTTGAGTTTTGAGAGTTCTTTATATAGACTAGATACTAGTCATTTTTCAGATACTGGTTTGCAAACATTTTCTCCCGGTCTGTAGCTTTTCTTTTCGTTTTTCACAGAGCAAAAGTTTTAAATTTCGATGAGGTCTGGTTGATCAATTTTTCCTTTTGTGGACTGGCCCCCTTTTCCTTTTAAAATGACAGTTTGAAATTACATTGATGTTATCATTTTTGTTATTGTTATCATTGGTAATTTTTCTAGTTCTTCTTAGTATAGAAGTTGTACATAGATTCTTCATTTGTAATCAGGTTTTCACAGTAAATTTTCTGATTGAAATTGACTTTTTTTTTTTTTTTTTGGTGAATGGCTGGTACCACACTATAATCAACTGAACTAACTGGTTAGCCTGAAATTCACTTTTAAAAATGAGTATATTGCTTTATAAGTATTATGTAGAACTTTTTTGTTTCTTAAATCACAACAAAATATCTATCTATTATAATTTTTGCATTTAAACGGGAACTTTTCCATGTATTAAACTGTTAGCCAATAGCTAATTTGAAGTAATAATTATATGAGAGAAGTTAATATGTAGCAAATATTGCACCTAAGGTTTTTCTGACTTTATCAGTTTTCCTTTTCTCCTAAATTAGATGTCACACGAGTTATAAAATTATTACTAGACTTTGGAAAATCATTATTGTTTACTTTATTAGTATGTATGTACATGTGCATGCTTCTAGTTTTAGAGAACAAAAGAGATGGTATAAAATGAAACAGAGGGATGGAGCTTCAATGACCTCTAAGATTTCCTTTAATCATTAATGTGGTTAAAGATAAAAATGAACTTTCTGAATATAAAGCCAATTTTTCTGGAATATTTTTGACTCAGATGTGCTTCATGTGGGGTTCCTCTGCTTGAGATGTTTCCTTTTATTTATTCAATTTGCAATGGAAAGCCTATATACTAGGACTGTTTTCCACATTGATCTGGTGTACTGGAAAGAAAAGAGCACCAGATTTTAGACCACGAAGACATTGGATTTAGTCTGTGTTTTGCCCATACTGGGGTATATGGTCTCTAGCAAGTCATAAAGTTAGTTTTCTTTCCTAGAAAATGGAATCATTTGATTCTTATCATTCCCTGTAGATGCTAAAGTTCTGTTATTTTATGATCTTAACAAAAAGAAGCATTCCTATTCCAATTTTCAACTTCATTGACAAAACTCAAAGAACTTTAGAAGAGAGCTGAATAAATTTTCTAAAATTATTCACTTTGCTGAGACCTGACTGTCAAACCAACCAAAATCTGGCCCAATACTGTTAGGCCCTGTGGGAGTACAAAAGATAAAATTAATGCATGTTTCTTCCCTTAAGGAGCTTGATATAGCTGAGGAACAAAACTAATGTACATTAAAAAGAATTACTTATTGACCGTATTACAATCAGCCAGATAGAATGTGAGACATTCTGTAGGACAAAATATCCTAACTTCTTTAACAAATAGTGTAAAAATAAAAAGAGGGGGAATCTGTTATATGTTAAAAGAACTTAAGGGACATGTTAACCAAAAGCAACTATGGGGTTGGGGTTGTAGGAGCCTTATTTGGAACTTGATTCAAACCAACTAATTCTCAAGAGACAGTTGAGGAAAACTGAACATGGACTGGCTATTAGATGCTCTTAAACATATTGTTAATTTTGTTAGATGTGGTAATGGTATTTTCATTAGGTTTAAAAAAGAACTAATTACCTATCTCTTAGAGGTGCATCCTGAAGTCTTTACAGAAACAATAATATGTTAGATAGGGTTGTTTTAAAATACTCCAGGAAAAAAAACTTCTGGGGGTAAATGAAACAAGAACAGCATATTGACTACTGTTCTTAAAGCTAAGTGATTGATAGATGGGAGTTCATTGTGCTTATTCTTTTACTGCTTTCATGTATGTTTGAAATTTTCTGTAACAAAAAAAGTTTAATTTTTTTATGGTAGATGAAGCACTAGCTTAATTTGTATTTGTGTGATATAAATAGTACAGTTGTGGTTTAATAAAGCTCAGTGTGGAATGGCTTAAGTAGCAAGTTAACATTTCTAGAAGGGGACCATAAGAAGGTATTAAATCTGGTCAAATCCCCTCACTATACAAATAAAGAAACTGAGGCCCCCAAAAGGGAAGTGACTTACCCAAGGTCACATTGCTAGTTTAGCAGAGCCCCTGTTAGAATTAGGTCTCCTAATTTCCAGATTTCTAGTTTGATCCACTTTTCTTATTCATCAAAGTTTTCCTTTCTCCTTCTTTTATGAAATTCTAAAGAGTCTGCTAATTTTATATATTTATTTATTATTTATTTTTAAAAATTTTTATTGAATCAAAATTGATTATACAGACCTTTGGGGTTCAACATTGAGATATGTTGATCAAATCCATATTACTAGCATATATATTATTACAAATTGTAATTATTATTTATGCCCTTTGTTCAATCCCTCCCCATCCCCCTTTCCCTCCTGCTTCCCCCCTCTAATCACCCTAGCTTTCTTCTCACCCTCTGAAAGAATAATGGTTACTCTGTTGATTTGCTGCCCAAATGATCTGTCCAATGCTGAGAGGTGTGATCAGGTCCCCCAATACTATCATAGAGCAGATGCCTCTAACATCACTCTGAAATGGGCTCAGTGGAAATAGACATCCTCCTCCTTATCTTTGCTGGTGACTCTCCTTGTGTTAATGCACTCCAGTGGCTGGTGGACCATCTGCGTGGTGGTTGTGGCATCTAGCCAACTTCGCGGCAGCCATGCTTATCATGATGGCTGTAGTAGGCCACCAACATGGAGGAGATGTTTTTGGCATGCTCCTTGGTGCTGGTGGGTGTGCCTTGTGTGGAGAGTATCCGATCCCTGGCTCTATACCTCAGGTCCCTGACTGGGTCCTGGAGTGCTGGCATAGTGTGCATGGTTGTGGGAGGGGGGTCTGTTCCCTGACTCCATACCCCGGGTGTCCGGCAGGCCCTGAGGCACTGGCGCAGTGAGCCTGGTTGTGGAAGGGGGGTTGGGTCCCATTCTCCATGCCCTGGGTCCCTGGGTGGGCCCTGAGGTGCTGGTACAGTGTACCTGGTTGTGGGAGAGGGTCCAGTCCCCTTTTCATGTACTGGTTTCCCAGGTGAGCCTTGAGGTGCTGGTGAGGTGTTCCTGGTTGTGGGAGGGAGGTCCAGTCCCCTTCTCCATGCCCCGGGTCCCCGGGTGAGCCTGGAGGTGCTGGTGAGGTGTGCCTGATTGTGGGGGGGTCCAGTGCCCAGCTCCATGCCACGGGTCCCCAGGCAGGCCCCAAGGCACTGGTGCAGTGAGGCTGGTTGTGGTAGGGGGGTCTGGTCTCCTCCATGCCCTGGGTACCTGGGTGGGCCTGAAGGCACTGGCAAGGTGTGCCTGATTGTGGGAGAGGGGTTCGTTGTCTGGCTCCATGCCACAGGTCCCCGGGCAGGTCCCAAGGCGCTGGCACGGTGAGCCTGGTTGTGGTAGGCAGGTCCAGTCCCCTTCTCCATACCCTGGGTCCCTGGGTGGGCCCCAAGGTGCTGGTGAGGTGTGCCTGGTTGTGGTAGCGGGGTCCGGTCCCCTTCTCCATGCCTTGGGCCCCTGAATGGGGGCCTGAGGTGCTGTCACAGTGTGCCTGGTTGTTGGAAGTGGGTCTGGTCCCCAGCTGCTAGCTCTGGGTTCCTGGGCAGGCCCCAAGGCATTGGTGGTGTGCCTGGATGTGGGAGTGGGGTCCGGTCTCCAGCTCCAATCCTCGAGTTCCTGGGTGGGGCCCCAAGGTGCTGGCAGTGTGAGTGGTTATGGGCGGGGGTCCTGCCCCTGACTCCATGCCTCATGTTCCCTGGTAGGCCCCAAGGCATTGGTGGTGTGCCTGGGCCAGAACTAATTTTTTGTCCTTTGCTTACTTCTAACACAGGGGAACTTCCCGTGGGAACCAGTACTTGAGCTGTATGGTTGACCTAAATTGCTGCTTTCCTGCTGTTTCCCTAGGGAAGAATTTTTGTGCAGCTCAGAGTTTAATGGTTGACCTTATAGGTATTTCCTGCTCTGATACTCGGTGCACATGGGTTGTATAGAAACTCAGGTCTGGGCCTGAGTATTTTCATTAAACTGTACCCCATGCAATCCTGCATTCCTCACCAGTCTCCTCTGAGTGGTCCTGCACTGATTGGGGGGCAGATCAGCTGTCCTTGCTGTGTCCCAGTGTTCTCCTGGTGGGCCTGTCTCCCCACTGTCTGTGCTCCAAACACCCCATGGGACGGGCCCTGCACTGGTCCCCTGCATTGACTCACCGGCCTCTGAATGGCTCCCCTTTTTCAGCTGTTCTGGATCCTTGCTCCTGTGTGGGTCCACGGGAATTCTGTTAGTGCTCTTGCTGTCCTGGGGGCCAACAAAGTTCTCTTTGTTGAGAGAGAACAAAGGGAGACCTTTCTGCCTCCAAGTAACTCCATCTAAAAGTCACAGCTGCAGCTTCTGTAGGCTTCTGCTCCATGTGCTTCAGTATTCAAGCGGCCACAGGCCGAAAACACTGAGAGCAGTTTTTTCTTTCTCTTGTGGTTTCTCCTCCTTTTCACCTAAGCTCCAGTGGCCCCCGCTTGGCTGATGTTACATTTTTATAGTTGTAAATTCATTGATTTGTGGGAGAGACTGATGCTGGGGGCCGTATATTCCACCATCTTGACCAGAACCCAAGTCTGTTAATTTTAAATAAAATTAATATGTACATCACCTTGTCTTGTTTATTTTCCTCAGAATCTGGCCAACCTATATGTGGAAATGGAATGGTAGAACAAGGTGAAGAATGTGATTGTGGGTATAGTGACCAGTGTAAAGATGATTGCTGCTTTGATGCAAACCAGCCAGAGGGGAAAAAATGCAAATTGAAACCTGGAAAACAATGCAGGTACCTTTCTAATTCCAGTAGTATTAATGTTTCTGTGCAGTCATACAAAAGCAGTAATGACAGATTTAAAACTGAGATTAAGAAATGCATATAGTTTTGAAACTTTGCCTTTATTTGATGCTTTTTGTTTTATTTATTTTTCGAGAATAGCATTTGTTAGTGCCCTTTTATTAGCAGATTGAACGACTTGTAATTGCAGTTTGTGCAGTGGGTGATAAAAAGGGTCATACAAAGGATGCTTAATAAAATACATATTATTTAGTTCCTAACTATAAAAATGTAACTGTCTTCTATATTTTTAGGATTTTTTTTCTGTTTTTATTCTTAAATTCTATTTTTAAAATTTATTTTTATTTATTTATTTTGAAACATAATTGATTGTACATATCTGTGGTGTACAGTTTGAATATCAATACCTGTGTGCAATATGTGATGCTCAAATCAGGATAATTAGTATATTCAATATTACAAAGTGTAATCCTTTTTTGTGGACCATTATCAATATCTCACTAACCCTCAATCCTACCCAGTCCTACCTCTGGTGGCCAATCTGCTCCCCAATCCTACCTCTGGTGGCCTCAGTTCTGTGCTCTCCTTTTGAAGGTTCAATGAATTATTGTGATTGTTGTATCTTTCTTTTTTTAGCTCCCACTTATGAGTGAGGACATGGTATTTCTCTTTCTGTGTCTGGCTTATTTCATTTAACATAATTTTCTCTAAGTTCATCCATGTTGCTGTGAATGGAAGAATTTTATTCTTTTTAATGGCAAGTAGTATTCCATTGTGTATATATGCCAGATTTTCTTTATCCAGTCTTCTGTGGATGGACATTTAGATTGGCTGTTGTAAATAGAGGTATAATAAATATGGGAGTGAGGTGTCCCTTCGACATGACGATTTCTCTTCCTTTGGGTATATACCTAACAGTGGAATTACTGGATTGTATGGTGGTTCTATCTGCAGTTGTTTGAGGAGCCTCCGTACTATTTTTCTTAATGGCTGCACTGATTTACAGTCCCACAAACAGTGTAGGAGGGTTCCCCTTTCTCCGCATCCTTACTAGCATTTGTTATTCTCTGTCTTTTTGATAATAGCCAGTCTAATTGGGGTGAGATGATATCTCAGTGTGGTTTTGATTTGCATTTTCCTGATGTTTACCAGTGTTGAACATTTTTTTCACATGTTAGCCGTTTGTATATCTTCCTTTGAGAAATGCCTGTTCAGCTCCTTTGACCATTTTTAAATCAGGTTACTTGTTTTTTTTACTGTTAAGTTGTTTGAATTCCTTGTACATTCTGGACATTAATTCCTTGTTGGATGCATAGTTGGCACATATTTTCTCCCACTCCATAGGTTGTCTCTTTGCTCTATTGATTGTTTCTTTTGCTGTATACAAGCTTTTTAGTTTGATATCTCAATTGTTTATTTTTTCTTTTTTTGCCTTTCCTTTGGGTCTTATTCATAAAGTCTTTGCCCAGTCCTACTTTCTGCAGTGTTTCCCATATATTATCTTTTAGGACTTTTATAGTTTCAGATCTTATATATATTTAAGTCTTTAATTTATTTGAAGTGATTTTTATATGTGGTGAGAGATATGGGTCTAGTTTCATTCTTCTACATATGGATTCCAGTTTTCCCAGCAGTTATTTATTGAAGCCAGTCTTACCCCAGTGTACGTTCTTGGTGCTTTTGTTGAAGATCAGTTGGCTCTAAGTATGTGGGTTGAATCTGGGTTCTCTATTCTGTTCCATTGGTCCGAGGATCTGTTTTTATGCCAGTACCATGCTATTTTGTTTACCATAGCTTTGTAGGATAATTTAAAGTCAGGTAGTGTAGGGCCTCTGGCTTTATTTTTTTTTTGGTCAGGATTGCTTCGGTATTTAGGGTCTTTTGTTTTGCAATATGATTGTTAGGATTGCTTTTTCTTTTTCTGTGAAGAATGTCATTGGTATTTTAAAGGAGATTTTATTGAGTCTGTAGGTTGCTTTGGGTAGTATGGACATTTTCACAATGTTATTTCTTCCAGTCCAAGAGCATAGAATGTCTTTCCATCTCTTTGTGTCCTCTTTAATTTCTTTCAGCAGTGATTTGTAGTTCTCATTTTAGAGATCTTTCAACTCCTTGGTTAAATTTATTCCTAGATATTTTCTTTTCTTTTTTTTTTGGTCACTTGTAAATGGGCTTGCTTTCTTGATTTCTTTTTCTGCTAGATGGTATTTGGAGTATAAAAACACTACAGATTTTTGCATGTTCACTTTATATCCTGCAGCTTTACTGAAATCCTTTATCAGCTGTAAGTTTTTTGGTAGTCTTCAGGCTTTTCTATATATAGGATCATGTCATCTGGGTTTGTTGTATATGGCATTTATTATGTTGAGATACTTTCCTTCTATACCTAGTTTGCTGAGAGTCTTTATCATGAAGGGATGTTGAATTTTGTCAAATGCTTTTTCAGCAACTATTGAGATAATGGTTTTTGTCCTTGATTTTGTTGATGTGGTGTATCACTGTTATTGACTTGTATATGTTGACCCATCCTTGCATCCCTGGGATGAATCCCACTTGATTGTGGTGTATATATGTATTTTCTTTGATGTGTTGCTGTATTCTGTTTGCTAATATTTTGTATTTTGTTGGGGATTTTTGTATCCATGTTCATCCAAGATATTGGCCTGTGGTTTTCTTTCTTTGTTTTATCTTTGTCTGGTTTTGGTATCAGGGTGATGCTGACCTCATAGAATGAGTTTGGGAGAATGGCTCTGTTTCAATTTGTTTGGAATGGTATGATGCGTATTGGTATTATTTCCTGTTTATACATTTGGTAGAATTCAGCATTAAAGCCACCTGATCATGGGCATTTCTTTGTAGGGAGACTGCTGATTACTGCTTCAATTTTATTGATTGTTATTGGTCTGTTCAGGTTTTCTGTGTCTTGGTAGTTTGTATGTAACCAGAAATTTGTCCCTTTCCTCCATGTTTTCAAATTTGTTGGCATATAGTTGTTTATAGTAGTCTCTAATAATTCTTTGTATTTTTGTGGTATCAGTTGTAATGTCTCCTTTTCCATTTCTGATTTTTGTTATTTGCATCTTCTCTCTCTTTTGTTTTTTTGTTTTTTTGTTTTTTTTTGCTTAGCTAATGGTTTGTCTATTTTTTTTATCTTCTCAAAAAAAACAACTTGTGTTTCATTGATCTTTTGTATAATTTGGGGGTCTCCATTTCATTTAATTCTGCTCTGATCTTAATTATTTCTTTTTATCTGCTAACTTTGGATTGCATTGTTCTTGTTATTCTAGTTCTTCAAGGTATAGCATTTGGTTGTTTTTTTGAAATCTTTCTTTTCTTTTGATGTGTTTATTGCAATAAACTTCCCTCTTTGTACTGCTTTTGTGGTATCTCTCAGGTTTTGATGTGTCTTTATTTACATTATTTCAAGAAATTTTTTGATTTCTTTTCTAATTACTTCTTGGACCCACAGGTTGTTTGCAAGCATGTTGTTTAATTTTCATATATTTGTTTTGTTTCCAGAATTTTGCTTGTTATTGATGTCTGTTTTGATCCATTGTAGACTGAAAAGATACTTGAATTGATTTCAATTTTTAAAAATTTGTTGAGACTTGATTTGTGACCTAATATGTGGTTTGTCCTGGAGAATGTTACACGTGCTGATGAAAAGAATGTATAGTCTGTAGTTGTTGCATGAATTACTCTGTAGATATCTGCCAAGTCCAAATGGTCTAAAGTGTACTCTCTTGTACATAGCATATAGTTGGATGTAGCTTTTAAATCCAATCAGTGAGTTTGTGTCTTTTGAGTGGGGAAAGTAATCCATTTACACTTAAGGTTGTTGTTGAAATGTATTGTGTTATTCCAGGCATTTTTATCAATTTTTGTTTGGATGTTATAAATATCTTTTGTTCCTTTCTTCCCCTTTTCTTATTTGTCTTCAGTATTTGTTGGTTTTTGGAGGTGGTAATATGTAGTTTCTCTTTTTCATTTGCGTTTTGTTCTACCTGTGGGTTTTCTTCATTCATGTGTATTCGTGGTAGTGATTATCATTCTTTGGATTCCAGATGCAGGACTCCCTTGTGAGGATTTCTTGTAGAGTTGGTTCTCTGGTGGTGAAATCTTAAATTTTTGTCTGGGAAATACACTATTTCTCCTTTATTTCTAAAGGATAGTCTTTACTTTGGGTATAGTATTCTTGGCTGGTAGATTTTTTCTTTTAGTATTTTGAATATATCATCATATTCTCTTGTGGCCTGTAGAATTTCTGTTGATAAGTCTGCTGTCAGTCTGATGGGGACTATATTATAGGTGACTTGGCACTTTTCTCTTGCTGTTTTTAGGATTGTCTCTTTGTCTTTGAGTTTTGTCAGTTTGACTATAAAGTGTCTTAGAGAGGATCTTTTTGAATTGAACCTGTTTGGGGACCTTTGAGCCTCCTGGATTTGAAGGTCCATGTCTCTCTCTATACCTGGGAAGTTTTCCACTATTATTTCATAGAATATGTTCTCAATGGCCTTTTCCTTTCTCATCCCCTTCTGGAACACTCGTGATTAGGATGTTTGTGCACTTAAGGTTGTGTATCAGTCTGTTTGTGTTGCTTATAACAGAACACACAGAACTGGATGATTTATAAAGAAAATGAAATTTATTGCTTACAGTTTCTGAGACTGGGAAGTCCACTGTCCATCTGTTGGTGGTGACAGTGACTCAGGGGTCTCACATTGCAAGATGGTGGGAGCAGAGAGAGCAGAGAGAGAAAAAGAAAGATTCTCCTCTTCTTTTAAAAGCCTTCTGAACCGTGCCCCTCACCACCATTTTTAATCCATTCATTACTGCACGGTCCTACCACCCAATCACATCTTCAAGGCCCCACTTCACAATTACCATAATAGGAGTTCCCACCCTGTTAACAGTCACAGTGGGGGCTAAGTTTCTAATACATAAAACGTGGGGGATACAATTCAGGCTTCACTGAGTTTTGGGGGGACATAATTCAATCCACTACAGGTTGTCTGCTAGCTCTCTTAGATTTTCTTTATTTTTAAAAAATTCTGTTTTCTTTTTTTCTTGTCTGCCTGGGTTATTTCAAAAAGACTGTCTTCAAGATCAGAAATTCTTTCTTTTGCTTGCTCTAGCAGCTGCCTAAACTTTTGATTTGTGTTTTTTCGTTCGTCAAATGAACCCCTTAGTTCCAGGAGTTCTACTACATTCTTTTTTAAGGTATTGATCTCTTTATAAATTTCCTCCTTCATATCCTGTATAATTTTTCTCATTTCGTTGGGTCCTCTAACTGAGTCTTCTTGTATTTCATTGAATTTCCTAAGATTGTTGCTTGGGAGTTCCTTTTCAGTCATTTCAAGGGTTTCCTGCTGTATGGGATCTGGTACTTGAGAATTATTGTATTCCTTTGCTGGTGTCATATTTTCTTATTTTTGTTTGTTTTTTAAATTGTATTTCTTGTATACCTACACTGATATCTGGTCATTTGTTAGAGCATTTGGTATTATAATGGTATTGCTTCTTCCATTACTCTGGAGTTGGCTTTGAGAAGGACTTCCTCCTGTAGATGTGTTTTATATTGACTGTTGAGGTGGGTGTTTTAGTATTGGTTCCAGGTAGATGCAGTACTGTAATCTCCATGTGGGTACTTCAGCTGTATTCAATGTCAGAGTTGTGTGTGAGTGCCTCCTTGGCTTTAGGAGCACTTAGTGGGGCACTTAGTGATTTTTCGCTGCAGTTAGTGACACTGTGTTGGGTTGTCGAGGATATGGGTGAGCTCTCGAGTTCTTGGGAGAAGCACCTTGGTGCCCTGTTGCTCTTTGGCTTGGGTGGGTGACCCTGCATGGGCTGGTTGGCACCCCAGCTAGCATCCCTGTGACCTTGATGGGTGTGCTGGGGTATACTGCAGCTCCTCAGTTTGAATCAGTGACTTTGGGCAGGCTTTCTCTTTCTTTTTTTCTACAGGCAGATGGACCTCTTGGGTTCGTGCTTCTCCCAGTGGGGAGATGGTATGGTGGTGGTTTGGAATTTTCTTCCTTACTCTATTTGGCCATCCTGGGTTTCTGTACCCCCCAGGGATTCTGTGTGTGACTCCCCAAATCACGGCAATTGCATGGGCTGTGCACATAACTCCCATCCCCAAGTGCACTATTGCATGGGGCAGTGTAATTCTCTGTATGGGGTGAGCCACTGGGTCCTGAGTCTGCACTTGCTCTACTGGTGACCTTCCTTGTGTCAGTGCAGTCAAGTGATTGGCAGGCCACTTGCATGGTGGTAGTTCCTGCTGTAGTCTGGCCTTGCGGCAATATTCACTCTGGTGATGGCTGTAGCAGACCACCCACTCAGTGGCAGTGTCTGCTGCATCATTGGGCTGCTGGCATAATGGTATCCTGTGCTGCTACTGTCTGTCTCAGAGGCTGCCTTTGGCTCCTCATGGTTCTTGTGCTCCTGCTGGCTGTTATTGGGCTTTAGGATATTTTAGGATATATTTTTTTAGGATCTTAACTTTAAATATTTAGGTAATATGGAGACTGTGCATTTTTATAACTTACTGTTATATAATTATTTCACTTGTCAAATTTCTTTAGTAATGATGGATACATGCAATAGAATATTGTTTATACAATACTTTTTAAATGGCTAGTCTATTTATTCTAGTTTGATTTTACCATAAAAATGTGAGAAAGACTGATAAATTGACTAATGTGTGATGTAACTATGAAAAACACTGATAAATTGCCTAATATTAAATCCATTTTCCATCCTAGCTTTTCACTGTAGGCACACAGAGGAGAATGCTGAATATAGTATGCATTGACTGTGAAAACAAGATGTTTAATTATTTTTCCACACTTATTAGGATATTTAAATTTAGTAGCCTCTTATTCCAGTATTTGAAGTTGTATACCAGTGACATACTTATTATTTAAAAGATGAGATTTATGATTTAAAAATTAGGACCATATCTAAGTTTATAGAAAATATCTAGTGATTTACTTTGTTTTATCACTTAATGTTTCTTCTAGTCCAAGTCAAGGTCCCTGTTGTACAGCACAGTGTGCATTCAAGTCAAAGTCTGAGAAGTGTCGGGATGATTCAGACTGTGCAAGAGAAGGAGTATGTAATGGTTTCACAGCTCTCTGTCCAGCATCTGACCCTAAACCAAACTTCACAGACTGTAATAGACATACACAAGTGTGCATTAATGGGGTAGGTATTTGATTTTATATGTTTTTTATTTAATTTTGTAAAACTTGCTTTTTCATACTAATTGTTGACACTTAAAGCTGCATATTTAATGTAATTAATTTTGGTCTCTGTTTCAGAAATATCCCTATCTATTCTCCACAAAGACATGAATGTATTACGTGGCACAAGCGGCATTCTATTATAACTTTTCTTCTTTCCAACTATATGTGTTTGACATTCTGTAGAGAAATGTAGTTGTACAACTAGGCATGTGACTTTGTCTATACTGTTTTTAAGTTTTACAAATTAATATTTTAATAGCCTAAATAAAAGAACTCTTCTGGTCATTTTCTCTGAATGGAAAGTCTTTAGAGCTTTCATGGCTAAATAATATTTTCCTCTACATGAAGAAAATTTCATTTTTCTCTCCTTATAGAGGAACCATAATAACCAACATAAAATGCATGCTCATCTAATCTCTCTCTGCTGTTTAGTTTTTTCTTTTTCCTTTAGTCATTTATTGCGTTAAAAGATTTGACTTACTTGCATTTACTCTCTTTCAGATATATTCATTTGATCCAGTTCTTATACTCATGTGTGTTTGTTTTCCACTTATATTTCCACTTTATTTTGACATTGGAAGCTCATACCTGCCTATCTATCACTATGAGCAATAGGTCTGACTGTATAGGGATTAAATAATTTGTCTTTTATTTTTCCTCCAGCAATGTGCAGGTTCTATCTGTGAGAAATATAGCTTGGAAGAATGTACCTGTGCCAGTTCTGATGGTAAAGATGACAAGGAATTGTGCCATGTCTGCTGTATGAAGAAAAGTAAGGCTTTTAAATTCAGTTTATAATCTTTTTCAAAAACCATTATTTCCCCTCAATTTTTAGAGTTAAACTTTCACATGTAGCTGGAAACTATCTGTCTAAACTAAATCTGTCCTCTTGAGAAAATTTTGCATGTAACACAGCATTGTGTCTTTAGCATTGTGATCCATACAATATTTTTTAAATGATAAACTAGATAAAACATTGCCAGCTTTATAGCAATAATTTATATAAACACTGCTAGGTTTCAAAGCCATTATAGGTACTAAATCAAGACTTGCTGGTTGTTTGTTTATATTGTAACATTTAAGGTGAATTACAAATGGCATTATCCATCCTAACCAGTGAAGGTTTATATAACATGTGAAGGTAATGATTTTAGGCAGTTTCTTCTTTTCCTTTCACTTTATCCAACTGGCTCTTTAGGAAATCTAATCTTTATCTTATATTTGATTCTTCTTTTCCAGTGGATCCATCAACTTGTGCCAGTACAGGGTCTGCACAGTGGAGCAAGCATTTTAATGGTCGAACCATCACCCTGCAACCTGGCTCCCCTTGCAATGATTTTAGAGGCTACTGTGATGTTTTCATGCGGTGCAGATTAGTAGATGCTGATGGTCCTCTAGCTAGGCTTAAAAAAGCAATTTTTAGTCCAGAGCTCTATGAAAATATTGCTGAATGGATTGTGGTAAGTATAGTTTTTAAGAAACCTTAACTTAAAATGGTTTCATCTTAATTTTACTTGGCCAGAGTCACTAACGTTACGAGAAACTCATTTCTTTCCTGTTTATACTGGAATTACTTTGTCCAAAGATTTTTAAAGTTCAAATATCCCTGGTTATTACTTCCTTCTGAAGTGATAAGAATCTCCACATGTGTGTCATTTGTCGATTGGTTAGTAGGTGATGGGAGTCATTGTGTTGTACTCTGCTCCTTAGTTCATCTGCTAAATGGGTTACTTCCTCTTTTAGTCCATATAATTAGGGCATTTTCATGGGAACGTTTTCATTGAGTTTTTTTGGAAAATGCTACTTGCTTTTTATACTTCTCTCTTGTCTCAATATGGCAGATAGCCAGCTGCAGGTTCTACTTTGCCAAACAGGAAAGATGATAGAGAAATTGTTGATTTTCTGAAGTTTTCTTTTAATCTTTCAATATAATTTCTGGGTCTTCTTCATCTTGTCCATGATAGGAAATGTTGAGCAGGGTAAGATCAGATACAGAGCCTTTTGCAGATCTGTTAATGATTATGGATGTTCATCTAACATTAATCCACTGAACTGTATTATTTTTAAGCCCACATTTCTCCAAGTTGTACAAACATCGAATTGTCTGAAATTTTCTTAACAGATTGCTGAGAATGACTGTCTCAACTCACTTAAATGTTCATGCTTTCTAAGTGGTTACATTAAAATATTCATACAAACTTGTAAGTGATGTATTTGAGAATATGCTATACCTGAACTGAATTTAGTTTGCTTTGGAAATTGACCTAGAATTCTGATTCCTAACCCTTTCCCAAATTATTTCGTGTGTGTGTGTGTGTGTGTGTGTGTGTGTTTCAGGACTAAGGATGGCTTAAAAGCACAAAAGATGTTGTCTGTGTGAGATGTCAGCCCTTTTTGGTATTCTTCTAACAACATTCTACAATAAAAATTTTGTAGTTCCCTGCATGAAAATACTGTTTATGATTCATAGGAAGAATAATACTTTGCATGTTAGAATATGTGATTTTTAGGTACGTAAAGAATATATAGTGGGAGGATTGTTGAAATTTGATTTAGGAGACCTAGGTTTCAAATCAAATAATTGGGCAGTTGACTTAACTGAGGTCTCCTTAAAACATTCTATGTCAGGCATTTATACTCCTGTGCTTGTTGCATCATAGATGTTCAGTGAATATCTGTTAAGCCAAAGGTCTCTTTTGGCTGCTTGGTGTAATAGAGGGAGCATAGACTTGGGAGTCATAGAAGGATTTGGACAATCTTTCTCGCATTTGTCAATTCTGTGACTTCAAGCAACTTACATTTCTTGGCCCTTTTCTGTTTTCAACTCAGATCCAGTTCTTTTCTTTTTTTTTTTTTTTTAAATTATCTCTAATAAGAATAAGTTGAAATTTGGTATACTTATCTACTCTACAGGACAATGTACATAGGAAATCTGTAATGAGGATATCTCAGAGTTACAGTTTATTGAGTATATGTTGTGCTAAGTATTTTAGATATTCTAGGTATCGAATCATATCACTGAACACAATTTTTTTTCACTTTTCTTCATTATCTCAAATTTTGACTCACTGAATTATGTAGAATTTCAAAAGCTCTGTTTTCTTACTTTACAGATATTAATAGACACAATCTTTTAAGTATTTTTAAAACCTTTTTTTCATATTTTAGATTTGAAGTTTTAATGACATGTTTCTTACAATGAATTAGTAACATGAATGAAGTGTTTTCTTGTTCTCTGGAACTGATTAGTCAGGCAATTTTAGGTTTATACAGGTTTGCTTTAAGTGAGTGTGGAATAGTACATGCTTTTTTTATATATATATAATTGTTGACATTCATATGACACTCTTTGGAATAGCATGGCCCATAATGCATGAAGAGTACCACTAGGCTGCATTTGTGGGCATTAACCAGGTCAAGCAGTTAAGATAACATCCAGTTCTTCATAAGTTATTTGTCTCACTTGATTATGTGCTGAGTTCACTTCTATAGCAGAGTTTATTTTGTCCATTAATAGCTTGTTGTTTGACCTTTTTTTTTTTTTTAGTAGCTGGCCAGTGTGGGGATCTGAACCCTTGACCTTGGTGTTACACCACCACGCTCTAACCAAATGCACTAACCAGCCAGCCCTATTGTTTGACATTTTATCATGTCAGAGAAGTGTCCTTCTAGTTAGTATTAGAGGTTATTAGGATGTTGTGGTGTAAGAAGCTATGAAAGAGGTGAGGGTTAGTTTTACTGACTTTCCTTACCAGTGGTGCCTGGTGGGTTTTGGTCTCCTTTCTGTGGCACAGTATCACAACTTTTCTCTTCATGCAGGGTAGAATAGGAAGAACCTTAACAGTTCAGTACTTCAGGGCATTGGATACTGACTGCCACTGGTGCTGTGGAAATGGTACTTTCTTTTCTGGAGGAGTTGTTTTTGACAACCGTGTTCTGATTTTTCAAAAATACATTCATTATATTTGCTGAGTGCCTACTGTGTATCTGGCTGGGAAATAATGTTATACATGCTTTGGATTTATCAAGGAGACATCTAGGTTTTGAAAAGTTTGAGAGAATATACCAATAAATCTGTTAAGACTCTGTATCATTATCTCCTTTTCTTTAAATGGGGATTGAGGACATTAGTAATTTTTTTCACTTTCTTCCATAACTATGTGTTCTGATATTCTGCATCTTTTGTATTAGTTTTGACATTGTAGAAAACTGTCTTTTACCTTATTTTTTTCAAATTTATTACTGTGTTTACCCCTCCACTTTTTTCTCTTTTATCTGTTCAGATTTATCAGGAGTTTGTCTTTTTTATTATTATTTTGACAAGAATCAAAACTGTTTCTCATTTTTTCATTAATTTCTGCTCTCATATTTTACCCTAATTTTATGAATCTAAGTATTAAGTATCTGGTATTTTTTATGAGTGAAGATTTAAAGCAGTATTTCCCAAATGTTCCTTGAGATGCTCTATGGGTTTGGTGGTCGGATGAATCTATAAAACACTGCATGCTATAGACTCCTCTTGGAGATTTGTGAGAAGATTTTCTGAAGTCCTGCAATAAATAAATCCTTTTAACTTCATTTTCCAAACTTACCTAACCCCAGGCACTTTATTCATGTAAGGCTTATGAAATCCTAAATACCGTTAGAAGTCATTTGGGGAAGCATTGCTTAAGAGCAGTAGTTCTCAATCCTGGTTTTACCAAGCATCACTGTAGGGCTTAGACCAGTTAAATCAGAATATCTTGGAATGGGAATATCTTAAATTATCTGGGTCTTTTAAAACTCTCCAGCTAATTGTCATGAAGAGCCAGGGTTGAGAACCACTCATCTAGAACAGGGGTTGGCAAACTATGGCCCATGGGCTAAATCTAGCCCCCTGCCTATGTTTGTATGGCTCATAAGCAAAGAATGTTTTTTATAATTTTAAATGGTTGGAAAAAATTATGAAAATAACGTTCTTTTGAAAATTCAAATATATGAAATTAAATTTTTCAGTGTCCATAAATAGCATTTTATTGGAGTATGGCCATACCCATTCATTGCCCATGTCTACTTTTGCACTTTGAGTTGTTGTAACAGAGACTGTATGGCCCCACAAAACCTAAAATATTTATCTAGGCTTTTACAGGAAATATTTGCCAACCTCTGATCTAGAGCAGTGATCTCAAAAAATAGTGCCCTGACCACGAGCATCAGCATCATGTAAGAACTCAATACAAAGGCAATTCTCAGGCCCCACTGTGGACCCACTGAGTCACTAGGTAATGGTACATGCCAGTGTTTGGGAACTATTTTTTCAGTCTGCACTGTAAATACTCCTTTTTAAAAGACTTGTAACAGAAATTTTCTACTTTGTCATCCTGATATATTGAAAATGGAAGGTGGTTGCAGATTTACAGAGTCCTTCATTGCCTAGTGGATAGGCCACATAAGTATCACTTATGAAACTTGAACAACAAAGATGCAAGATCACAGGGCTTAGCAGATGACTATATATACTAGATGAATGAAGCCAGTTGCTTTCTGCTTGGCATATTGCTAGTGGTTGGTAGTGGGGGTGATGGTAGTGGTGGTGGGGGTGGTGGTAGTGGTAGTGGGGTTTGAAGGATAGGAGAAGAATACTCATATTTAGTCAAAGTCCAGACTATAGTAAATTCTGAAGGATAGAAAGCAAGCTTTCTGCCCCTGCAGGGATGGCATAATCAATATCACAACAAGGCACTATAGACCCACATGCCCCTGTGATCCACAGGAAATCCAGAGTGCAGAGTTGTTGAACAGTGGAGAGGGTGAGAGTTGAAAGTGAGAATTGTTAAACAGTGGAGTATTCACTGAAGGGATAATATGGTTGGCTTTCCTGGAGATCTTTAAAAACAGTAGATTATCTTATATCTGAAGAGTCCTGAGTGAATGTCTTATCCCTCTCCCCTCACACACTTTGTTTGGGTGATACCTGTTTTATCATTTTGTTATCTTATAGGTTCTTTTTGTTTATTTAGATTAGTAAACACTGTTGTAATTAATACATAATAAGACTAGTAAATTTTGACCTTTTATGTTATCATTGGCTATATATAAGTAACTATTGAACAACATGTGTCTTTTTCTTATGAAGAATTATTTTCTCAGAGTTAATTTAATGCTTACTAACTTCTAGGCTATTTTTTAAACTTTTGGAGGTCTTCTCTTTGTTCCTTAAGTTTTGCTTAACACCCTCGTATTGATGACAAATAAGAGCCTGGCACACAATTTACACTCATTAAGTGTTCATTGAACAAATGACAAGCTCTCCTTTCAGATTAGCAGGTAGACAAATTGTGATCTTGTCTTCTGAGGTGAAATGCATATTTCACATTCACTAGCCTGGGTGGTATTCTTTCCCTGACTCTGTAATATAAGTGAAAGAGAAAAACATGAAACTTAGTATTTAACTCACTCTGATAATTCTCTTTTAAAGGGA